GAACCTGGAAAAAACAGGAGGGGCAGGGGGGGACAGGTTAGACTGCAACTTTAGCCCACTGACTTCAAAAAACACACTTTGCATTTTTGGATGGCTCAAGAGGAAAGGGAAATGTTTTCCAGAAGTGGATGTTTAGAACAGATTTCACGTGCTTGGAATAAAGTCTGCCCCCTGGATCCTTAGCTGCTCTCAAATTAGATGCTGAGGTGAAAGCCTGTTTAGTATTTTTATCACTCTTCAGCTCTTAAGTAAAGACCATGCAACTGTTCAACTTGCTGGTAAATCAGGGTGTCTGAATCAGAACTGCCAATTCAGTGACAATAGCTATAAATGAGAATCATTCTGACACAATGCTTTTATTTATACTCCACTAGAAAGGAGCTATTGTGCAGCACATCCGGGTTTCATGCACAAAACTTTTTTTCTGCTTGATAAAATTGTAGTTCATTTTCCCATCAAAATCCTGAGGCACTTCAAAAAGAGTAAGGGAAACAAGGGAAGCCTTATTCTGTTTTCCAGAAAACGTTACCAGCCTGGGGCTCGGTCACGAAATGCTGCTCGAGGAAAGGCTGAATTTCAACACGAAGCTGAAGCCCTGCCAATGGCACCAACTCTTTTTACATGAGAAACCTGCTTGCACAACGCCTTTGGAGCAGATCTGGGAGCTGACACCATTTACCAGAACCACCAAAGAACACAAAAAATTCGGGATGAAATGATCCAGGACTCTGAAGTAACTGGGCTTGCCAGGATTCCAAAAAAACCCTTCATACAAGAACTGTTTGCAGCCCTATCTGAAGTTCAAGAAACCTCTTGACTTCCATCTTATTAGGCTTCTGCATATATTTTGCAAGAAAACCAGTATTTTGGCTCAAATTCTCTTACTGCTAAGGGTGAATGCAAAAGAGCTACTTGTCATTAGAGGCAAAGATGGCCCTTAATCCAAAAACACTGAGTGCCTAAGGGAAAACTGAGTATACAGTATCAGGCTTTAAATACAGATTTTCTAACCACTGATTCAAGTGCCAACACAGATTGAGACAGAAGTTTGATTTTTTCATATTGAGAAACTAAAATAGAGGCATACCCCATTACCTAAACCCTGCTTGGAGGGCTGTGTTAATAYTTCCCTTGCAAAATCATTCACCTCATTAATGATTTATCCCAAATACACCAAAGTTAACATTAATGGAGCATGTATGAAATGAAGTCTACTGTTCAATTTCCAGCAGTGATATTATATTTTTATAATATAAAAACTAAGTGCCTACTAGGATCACACAAGTAATTTACAGACTCCCAAATCCTTGGCTAAAGCTCCAGTGACTCTGGTTCCTGTTTCAGTTCTAGTTTGCTTTTAACCTGGGTTAAACCTGTTTAATCTTTCCCTTTTTAAAATAATTAAACAGATTCATCAGTTTGACTGGACTTAAATATTTCATGAACCTTTTTGTTTCTTCGCAGTTAGCATAAGAAATGTGGACAAACACTGAACTAAGAGCTGCAAGAATTTGGTATTTGTGACTGTTTTTCACCACCTTGAGAAAACATACTGCATGAGAACTACAATTGTGTGTCATTTATCTTTTACTGCAGTAGTGTTTTATCTTAAAAATGATGGATTCTTGGTGCTGGTAGGCAAAATGGATCCAGTTTGAATCCAGGTTTGTTTATGGTTTCATATTTTAGATTAGAATATAACATCACATGATCAACATTGCTGCAAGCAATACACCCCAGGAAGACAAGAATTCTCTTCCCTTCTGGTTTGTTTCTGAAGTAGAAGAGAAGAAGAAAGGCTTTTTTTCCATAATGTTTTGTGTTTCCTGTCATGACCAGGAACAAAACTAAAATCTGACTTCACAATCCATGAAAATATTAAGTTTTTGTTTCAAAAGCCAGAACAGCTATGTCCAATGAACCTGGGCTAGCAACCAAATTGTGCTGGATTTATCTGAACACCWTTTTAAGCATCACCCCCAAAATTAATTCATATGGAAGCTGGACTTGAAATAATTCATCAAGATCCATTATGCAGAAAGCAATGACTGAACCAGGATGTTGAAGGCAGCTTGCAATGCCTTAATGYTGTCAGTAATTAAACTTTTGTGGGTCAAGAAATCCAAATGCTTCATAAYAATTGTCCAGCCATCTGAAATCCATGCCTTAAACATATCATCGAACAAACTCCAAATATTTCTCCATATTTTAGAGAAAAAAAGGCACGGAGAGGTTGAGGAGTAGTGACTGAAATGCAATCTCAGTGTTCACACATCCAACCTCTCACGAGGAATGAACTCGACAGATGTGAAAATTCAAACTGGGCTGGGATTAGTCCATGAAAAATTCCCATTGCCAAAGCAGTCTTAGAAAGAGCTGCAGCTAAACCAACCTTTTATAAAGTCTAAACCAACCTTTATAAAGTCACCACGGTACCCCCAAAACATGAGGGAATAAAATACAGGTAAAGAGAACATTATTGTTTGAGACGATATCTGACATTATTTTAAACGATCACTGTTAACAGGAGATTGTTGAGGGAGAGAGGATAAATACTGGCTACCATAAATATCCCCTAAAAATGTCATACCCTAACCTGACTATCAGGTATTGGATGCTTAAAACAAAAGAAAAAAAAAAMAAAAACCAAAAATAAATAATAATAAAACCCATAAATAAATAATAATAAAATAACCCAAATCCAAAAGAACAAAACTCACCACACAAACAAATAAACAAAATTCACCAAAAAAGTTTACCTAAGGGTATTTTTTACTGTAGGGCATCACAGGAATGCACAGCCATGTCTTTGTAGTTCATTTTGTGGGGATCATGAACTGCRAGTTTTGGTAAAAGCAGAAGAAAAGGGCAGAGCAACAAGGAAGGAAATAAATATGGAAATGGGAAATATCACACCTGGGCACAAGACTTTCCTGAAGGAAGGGATAAACCCRCAGTGAAGACCAGGGTAGAAAAGGAGAATTTAGATGTGCACAACGTAGATGGTGTGGAGATTGTTTTAAATTCAGGAAGCAACTGAAATCTATTGGAATGGAAAGCAATTTYCCCCATCCCAGTATGGACACAAGGAATGTGTCTGGTTTATTTCAACAGTCTAATAAAACATGCTTAAGAAATAGGAAACATTTTCAATTATCCTTGATAAACYTATTTAAAAAACCAAGAGGAGTCTAAATGAATTCAATCTTCTGGCTTAGTCAGGCTTCTTTTAGCAAAAAAAAGTTTGCAAGAGGAAAAAAAAGCTACCAGAGAACTCTCACTTTTTTTCCCACAAAACTATTTGGATACCAATATCAGAACCTACACATGAAGACCTTGAGTATTTAAGGTGTTTGACTGCAATGTGCTTTTTGGGGTTAGTGGGGTAACAGTGAAGTTGCTGTGAAGATTTTCAAAAATCAATAAGCATGATTTCTGGGCACTTCTCTACCACTGAGCAATGAACTCACTGTCACCTCTTTTGCTAAATTCCTGCCCTGCAACAAGCTCAAGGTAAGTATTTCGGTTTTAGTGAAAAGGTAAAGGTTATTTTGCTGCTCAGAGTAGCAGGTGATGGTATTTGCCACACGGATACAGACTAAAACTAACCAGATAAGATGTGATGGTGCTGCTSTATTTTTCGGATTATAATCCTTTTATTCTGCCATTGGTTAGTATTCAGATACAAGATGAGGAAAGTGCTATTAGACATCATGCAATGGAAAGGTTAGTTCAGAGTTTGCAAGGTGAAATTCCAGTGTCTGGAGCAGAAAACCAGATTTCCCTTTGTTTCCACCCATTATGGCTGAAACGCACAGAAAAGGATTACTTACTATCCARCTCCTCCTCCTCATCACTGGAAGAAGAGCCAATAGAAAAGAGAGTTTTAGACTTAGGAATGAGTGGAGAGATGCTGAAGGAGAAGGAGATTCGTCTCGATGGTCGAGTCCGGCCCTGGGCTGRGAAGTGGGTTAACAGCAGACATTAGAGCATGCTTGAAAATGCATTTAATAACAGAAAGGAGAGGAAAGCAGCCAAAGCAAACTAAAAGCAAAGCAAAGGAAATGTCTGCAAAGCAGCTGGCTCCAGAAAGGCACAAGAAACAAAGATCTGAGAATGTGCAAATTCCAGAGGATGCAGGTTTCAGAGGGCGCAGGTCTTGCTGCATGCACAGCTCAAGGTTTGAAGCTTTCCCTATTTTTTCTGATTTTTTTTTTTTTTATATAGGACCTCTTAGTGAAGCATTACAGGCAGTTATCTTTCCAAACAGAATACCAACAACAAAATGTATCTGTGGACAAAGGGCATCAGCTTCACTGAAAGAACTGCCATGGAATCAAACTAGAACAACTCAAGATATCTGTTTAAAGATATCTGTTTTGTTAAACAAAACAGCAAAGCTCCCAAATATTAGAAAGGACAGTTYAACTGAAATGTTGGCTTAATCTAACTGGGAAAGTTCTTGTCACTTCCATCTCTAATGTTATGGACTTCAATATTTCCAGCTTTAAAAAAGAGACACTTAAACGTCCCTTCTTCCAAAACAAAACAGAGAAAACAACCATCTCTTCTGCCTTSTTCTAAAATTTAAGAGCTCTTGCTTCAAAGAAACTGCCTAAACATGAGAAAAGCCCCACCACACCCTCTTCTGCCCCTGCCAGGAGGAGACCTATCAAACATAGTGCCAAACTCAGCWGTCAGCCTGTGACATCAAATATCCCATCATTTATTTTTAAGAGCAACAGCTCTGCAATAATTCTTTCAGGAAGTACAATGGTGTCTGAAAATAGAATTAGGAGCCAGCACCCYTCAGTGAACCTGGATTCCCAAGGGCTGCATTTCTCAAACCTTCTCCTCATATAAGCACAGTTCCATGAGCTTAAGCATCTTCATTTTAAGGTTATATTAAATATCTTCAGCACGTGTATTCACGCACTTTCAAGTCATTTCATGGATACATCAATTCACTTGCAGAACAGGGAACAYAGGCTAAAAATTTATCAGTATTAAACTTCCAAGAGAAAGATAAAGCAATTACTGCTCTTTTTGAATAAAAAGTGTCCTTTTAGCCACATACAATGAGGGCTTTTTCYATGGCTGGTATCATACATCAAAACTGAATTCAGAATATAAAAACAATGTCCAAGGTGTAGCCAATGCCATGCAAACAATGCAAAGCAAGCTCCCCTGAAAACTTCCTCCRGCCATTAGTCAAAAATGCCAACTGCCTACAGGCAATTTGATTAAAATGTGCAGTTTTCCAGTGCAAGCAGAACAACCCCAAAGGGACTCAATTAAAGGCATTTAAATTGAAGAATTCTTAGCAAGACCCATGCATTAGTTTTGTTTAGACTGCCTTTTGAAGGAGTTGTTCTAGAGTTCCAGACCTGAGGAACATGATTAGGCAACACCACTTTCTATTCTGTGGTCTGCTGTCTATTTAGACTAAAAGTCAAGATGAACAATAATACTTTACTGTAAATTGAACCACCTTCTCCAGCACAGTTCAACTCTCATTTCAGTGGTTTTATTTATAGCAATTCCTGGCTTTATAACAGTGCTCCACACTGGAAATTTGCWATTCCAAGGCTAAAAGCATTCTTCCGAGCACCGCAGCCAACAGCTCTTGTGACCTCCCTCTATAAAATGCTGAAGGATTAACAGTTGTGAATGGCCACAGCAGCTCCTGGAACATCTGACACATCAGATGGAGTGTGGGCTGAGCAGCTCAGTCTTGGAAATTGCTCCTGTCTCAGTACATGTGACAATAAACAGTAAAAATAAAAACAATCCCTCCATATGTTTATTAATCTGTGTTTAGTTTTTAARGTTTTTGGGCACAGCACGTTGCCTTCTCCCCATTCAGACACATTTGCAGSGTCATTTTGTTTTTAAAACACCTAGCACAGAATTATGCAAGTGGAATAAAGAACTGAATTTGCCCTAGAACTCTCTTCCATGTTATTCTTGCACAACCCTGAAGGGTTCTGCTGCAGTAAATAAATATCAAACCCAGGTGACACAAGGGAGTTTACTGTAAGACTTTCTTGTGAAAGGCATTGAATTGCTTCACATGTTCTATGGTCAACTCAAGCAACACCATTCCCCTTTCAAAGAGGAGGAATGAAGCAGAAAAATAAAACAGTAGAAAAACAGAATAATAGTCATAGAATGGTCTGGGTTGGAAGGGACCTTAAAATTCATCCAGTGCCAATCACCCTGCCTGTCCCCTGCAGGGACACCTTMCACCAGAGYAAATTATTCCAAGCCTCATCCAACCTGGCCTTGAACACTCTCAAGGATGTGGAAGCTTTTCTGGGTGATTTACTGAAGTTTGTGCCGTCAGGAATGTGTCAGGATTGGGAAAAGAACCCATGAGTTAATTTTTCCAAGTGATTATTACTTTTGGATGCTCACATCAACACCTCAAATGCACTGCTTTTCAAAAATCACCTTCCTATAAAAATGTGGCCCTTCTGAGATGTCACAAATTAATGACTGAGAAAATAAAGCTCACAGGAATGTCAGTAATTTTTACACTCATTGTCCCAAACTCACAGATATTTGCCTCAAAGCAGAGACCAACCCTGCTACATTTTCCACAGCCCCTCTGGAGAGGCCACCATATCTCTCTTCCTTCCTTCTCCAGGGACCAGGCTGGCCAGGCTGGCTCTGGAAAATGGAATAATCAAGGCCCCATGGCAATTTTAGTGCCAGGCCACAGCTCAGCCTCAGCCATCCAGGCTCCCTCAGCCACCAACAGCTCGTTTTTGGGGAGGCAGCCCAATTTTTGGGTGGTTGGTCAGAAGCTGGGTGCAACGCCAAGAAATTGGTTGCTTMAAAAAACAACAATGAAGACCTTCAGCCCAAGGAGGGAAGAGGCAGTGCCACTGCACAGGGCAGGATCTGAGCTCTTCACAGGACAGAGCTGCCCATGTTTTGGTTACTGTTGTGAGGGACACATCCGTTAGGCCACRTTCTTATTAATCATGGAATTATCATGGTGAAGAATTTAAAAAGTCTCCTAATAAAGCACAATCCCTGTGGGCTTCCTCCAGCAAGCCTCCTCTATGAATAAAACACCTCTATTAAAGCACCTTGTTGAGCTTTGCAAGGGASAATCATGTTAATAAAGAGGAAAGATCAGACACCATCACTAACTGACAAGAGCTAAAATGTCAATAGGGTTTCTGGCTGGCAATTAATAAAATGAAAACATGTGCAGCACATCCTAAGCACATCCAGCTGCAGCCTTCTGAATGACTTTTTCAGCTGAAAGAATCAATTCAGCCAAGCTGCAAAATTAAGTGCTTGTTRTCGCTTCAATGAAGCTAAACTGAAAAATTTTATAGAATCATCTTTCATTATTTTCTTCAGGACTGAGATTCAACAAAATTACACCCAACTGCTCCAAAATATTTAACTCAAAATGAATAGCAACAAACTCCCCCATGGAGACCAAGACATGGATTCTCAACTTTCCATATTTAGTTTTCAAAAAATCTAGATGCAGGCAAGTAAGATCTCAAGTGGAATTCACCTGGCATCAAAGAAATTCTGAAATTCTGAAAGGGTGCAAAACTTCTTTTCTTTTTAGTTAACAAACTCAATAAATCAGCRTTTTCATACCAGTAGTCTTAATTTAGAAAGAAAAAAGCAACCCACAAAAAGGAAATCCAATAGAAAGAAAATAGTAGGGATACACTGGGAAGAACACAGCTAAACTGAGTGAGTTCTGCCTTTCCAGCCACAATTCCATGCAGCAGTGAAACTCATATTTCATGTAATCAAGGAAGCGTGAGCGGGCAGTAGCACATTTTGCCTTGGGAAGGTAGCAAGATACACTCAATAATACAGATGAGAGAATGGATAAGGGAAAATTGGATTACTCACTGTCGAGCACTGGTTTGCTAATTGACATTAGAGACAAGGATTTGGTCAGTGGAGATGAAACAGCAGAAGAACAGAAATTAAATCCTTGTGGCTGCGATGTCTGATGCACCTGCAGAACAGAACAGCATCACACTGAATAAATATGTCAAGGAGAAACATCCCAACTTCAAATCCCAGCTGAGTGTTCATGTTGGCTGCAATTCTCACTCTGAAACACTGCACAGATGAAATGCAACATTCTGTTTTGTCCTTTAAGTGTAAGACAACTAATTATGCAACAGAGAGACTCTGTGTGCTTGATTTTCCTGCAAGACATTACAAGATATTGTTAGCTGTCTGACAGCCATGGAAATTGCTCTTGTGACTCCAACTCCTCAGCAAAGCTAGACTGTGGCTCAACATGGCAAAAAAAATTCTGATGCTTAGCAATGTGTTCCCCAAAAATGCCATCCCTCTGAGCAAGGGAAGACACCAGAGTTGTGTTGTCACAAAAAAAAAAAAAAAAAAACCCCAAAAAAACCAACAACAACAAAAAAAACAAAAACCCAAGGAGAAAATTTAATACAGTTGGAAATTCCTCCATGTTAAAGATGGAAGATTTTTAATATTAAGTATATGTGTATATAAGGTGGAAGCCTTTGTCAAACTGTCACTTGGGAAAATGACTTTGAAAACGTTGATGCAGCATTTCCCAGACATGCAAGAGTGGCTGGAGTTGGGACAGCTTTACCTGGTGGTTGTAGTCTCTGATTTCTCCTTGCTCCAGCTCCTCAGAGAGCAGGACCAGGGACTGATTGCTGGCAAGGGGGCTCCTCCTGAGCTCTTTGGAGCTCAGAGAAGCAGCCTCCAGGTTTGTAGAGGGCTTCTTGTTCTCGCCAGAGTCTCCAGCAAGGCCTTCTAGGCTGTAACTAAAGAGAAAGCACAGAGGTCAGATGCTGCCACACTCAGGGRCTTTCAGCACAGAGCACCTGGAAAGGGTAAAACACAGAGCAGGCACTAAAGGGTGCAGGGAAATGCTCCTCTTCAGCATTTCTTTGTTCCTCAGAGCAAGCAGCAACATCTCAGTGCCTCTAAGACACAAGGATTTGTTCATTGCTTGAAAAAGCATTAAAATTCCTGGTCAATCACCTTTCCTACTGGTTTTTTTTTCCCCCTCTTCTTCTTCTTGAGTGGTGCACAGGAAAACACAAAACACACCTCCGAGAGATCTAGAGATTTTGGTATTTCCAYATATTCTCTCTGCTAGTTTTTCACTGGCTCTCCCTTGGAATAAAGCCACCCAAATTAAACCACCTTGCATAGCATGGTGCTGCCCCTCCCAGCAGCCACCTCAGCTGCTCTAACACTCATCTCTGCAGCCACATCCTCTGAATCTATTTCAAAATTTGCCACTGCATAAATATTTTTGGCACTGATAACGTCCTTTATTCTGCAAAAGCTGGTTTCTTTTTTACCCTTGCTGTGGTTTGGTTTTTGGGTCATAAATGTTGTCTCCATCACCCAATTTTATTTTATCATCTACTGAGGGAGCTAGGTTTTGCCCAGCAGAGCTAGGCAACCACTCAAAGCTAAATAAAATACCAAACTTTTGCTTGCAGAGCTGCTRGAAACAAAACATTTGGCCAAACTCTGCAGAGACAGCTGGTGACAGACAAGTGAACTCTACAGTAAAATATAATACACTCCCTTCTCACCTACACAGAACACTCGCTTTCACAGGGGACTGTTTTATCTGATAAATCTTGCCCTAAWATTCTGCTTCTGACCCTCCTGCTCCTTGTGCCCAAGCATCAACAGTTTTAGGTGAGGCTTTCCAGATTCACCTCCCAGGACAGATCCACRGCCAATGTTTGATTTGATGCTCGCTGAGTCCAAGGTCTGCCCTGGATTTACACCCAAACCCAAGGCTAATCCTGGCATCCATGCTGAACAAGCTGACACGTAAACAAATAAAAGGGAAAACACACTGCAGGCTCTACAGATSATTTAAACAACCAGAGGAGCTTTACATTCAGGTAGACTTGCATAGCAGTGATTAATGTTCTGCAGCCCCTCAGAAGCATTAAGAGGCTTATAAATATGCACCTTGAAAGCAAAAACTGCAATAAATCATGAATAAGATTTAGTAGATTTAAAAAAAAACTTTTTTTTCATGGTAATTAATAAGAAAAAAAGACTGGGTGAAACGTTTATAATTTATTCTGCTTTAGGAAGATTGTGAATCATCCATGTGTATCAACAGCAGGCATTAGAAAGTTTATTCTAAAACACCTGCAGGTGGAAATYAGTCCCATTTCTACTGAATATTTAAGGCAGAAGAATATCTTCTTACCTTGGAAGGTGGCAACAATGATGCTACACAATAGAGAAAAAAATCATGTACTTGGGACAAAACGAGCTAAAAAAATGCAAATATTAGCCCAAAAAACACGTATCAGTGATATTGGTGTGTAATCTGCTGATTGGAGTATATAGACCAAATCTGTAATTAAATCTGTACCAGGAAGGGCAGGTTAACTTCTCAGAATCTACTCTTYAGAAAAAGAGTTTAATAGCTCTACCCACAACCAGCAAGAACTGCCAGAGAAAAGCTAATAAAGATCTAAAATCTGGGGGGCTGGCTTCCACACAATATTGGGTAAAGATGTGACCTGAAGACATCAATCTCAGCTCTGGGACTTTCCACAGAAGATGCAAACTTTAAGTTGCCTGGGGAATTTTCATCTGTGGTGATCAGATTGGTTTTTCAGAGAAGGTTTTACATGATCAATCTCTTTAAAAAAAAGCTTAGGTCTTCCAAATTAGAAAGAGCAACTCTGTGAACTGAAATGAAATCCTTCATGAGATGGATCTGGTACAGAGCAATGCTGAATCACATTTAATCTTGGTTTGATTCTTCAGCTGTCCCAATTAYCATTATGATCACTGCTGCAGATTAAAACATGGGTTAAAATCATCACAGGACAGAGCAGCTCAACCCAACAGTGCAGCTCTTTTATTGCCAGAGGCCAGTGAGAAGCAGCCACCACCTCCACCTGCAGCCCAGCTCTGAGGATCCATCCCCAGGAGAAATTGCTGGAAAAGCAGAGCAAGCAAACAAAACACGTGCACGCTTCAGCCAGAGCAGCAGTGGGAAGGGAAGCTGAGAGCAGGGGCTCTGCAGGGCTCCTCTGCTGCTGCACATTTATTCATACCATACCTTCTACAAGTAAAGTCAGGACCCATGGCAAGGTACTGTACGCCTGAGGGACACCAGCTCAAACTAGGAACAGCAAAAGAGGCAAAGAGAGGAAAAGGACAGTGATTATCGGGTTGGGATGGAACATGGGGAACGATAAAAGGCTCTCACTCTCACGTATCTTAAAAAAAACCCAACCCAACAAACTCAGAAATGATGGAGAAGCACATGTCTGGTTGCACAAACACACCACAGTGCCCCAAATGCCCAAGGGTACCACTGAACAGGGAGCAGGACAGCCCACACTTCCCCCAAACTGACCCCATTGACAAGTATACAATGTACTGGGAAAAGGACTCCTTGTGGGGAGAGAGTTTTTTGGGAAAAACAAGGCTAAAACATACCAAAGCCAATCTGTAAGTAATCACACACAGCCATTGTGTTAGTGATGATTAGTRTTTTTCTGGTAATTTTTATCCTCAAATCAGGAAAAGAATCCCTTACAGATACTCAGTGTAAGTCCCCTCCACAGAACTATTAATAACCTCAGGCTATGCTTAAGAAAAATAAGGAGAAAGACATTCATTCTTAAATGCTGCACAGCAAGTCAGTGAAGGAGGCTGGAAGAAAAAAAACAGGCTAATCTGACTATTAATTTGGGATTAAATCAAGAGTGCCTCTGACTGGAAAACCTTTCAGCTCCCATTCCCCAAAAGTGTCCCAAAGTTGCACCATCAAAGACATAAGAAATGCAAATACAGAATACAAATAGTTTGGTTGTTGTTTTTGCTTTCGTTATTTTTTCTCTGTTAGGTCATGGCCCAATTGCAGGTTTTGCAGAAACAGAGAAATCCATCTTCTTGTCAGCTATGACATTTATATGATCCCTAAATCCTGCAAAAGCTGTTCAGGAAGTGTACATTGAAGGGAATTTTGCATCAGCACCAGTCCTGCTCGCAGGCAATCCATGAAGGGAGGGGACATGGCCAGAGCATGCTTTGCTCCAGGACWGGAGCCCATGAAAAGGGCAGAACAAATTTAACCATTCCTGGACCAGGAATTGTRAGTGCCAGAATCCTCTGAGGGCACAGACAAAGGGTCAAACCCACTGAAAGCATCACATCATGCCAAGTCCTCTTGTTTCCACAGACAGGACAACTCTGGAAACATTCTGGAAGGTTTGACAATTGGTGCTCAGTGGTGGAGTTCAGGTGATTACTACCTGTTTTATGAAGGATGTTAATTGGGGGAGATGTTAATTGGGGAGGATGCACCAAAGCTTTGCACCCCAAAGCCCCAGGGGTGCCTCACCAGCAGCTYTCAGCACAGCACCACTGACATTTTTCATGACGATATCCCTTCCCAGAACATGCCAATACTTCCAAGTTTTCTTCATTATCACCCCCCAACTCACCCACAGTGGCAATGTGAGTATTAGGGGGGAGGCAGGGACTAAATGCTTTAAATACATATAAGCTCAGTGTTTCAGGATATTTTGACTCTCAATGCTAACACAGCTCCTACAGAGGAGCCTCAGAGGCCATGGATAAAAAGGTGTTCATTTGCATGAGCTGAGAAGACAAGCACAGCACTGCTTCCTGCAGTGATGCAAATAAAGTGGCTTCTTAGAAGTAAAAAAGCATGTTCTTTCTTGTGCTTTTTTTAAAAATTCTTTTTTAAGAGTGCTCTCTTGAACTGTACAGCATTGTCAAGGTTCATTGGTAAGGCAGGGTGATTTTTTTTTTTTTTGTCATAACATCATGGTAACATTCTTTTTTACATATGGAAATGTAGTTTGGTTACACACACACACCACCCCATCCATATTTCAAGGGAAGAGAAATCCTGAGTTAACCTGGCACAGGAGGGAAGGTGGCAGGCTATGGGAGGTGAGACAAGGTTGRACCACTCAAGGGGAGAGGTTAAACTTCTCATTTTTCTTTAGCCTGAAATGTCTAAGTGTGGACAGACCACATCTGCTGTGTCAAAAATTAAATATCCTCTTTTATATATTAATAGCCAATGCAAAGGTTACATGAGTGGAAGTGCCTATGTGTGTGATGGATGAGAAAGTGAAAGCTTGCCAGAGAGAGGAAAAACACATGGAAATAAAGAGGAAAACGCACCTTATTTTCTATTTTTTAGGAAGGTGGTTATAAAAAAACATCAAAAGAACAAAATTAAAGCCATTTAACTCAACCAGCTGCAGCTCTGCAGAGTGTTCTCCAACTCTGAGATCGTGTCTGAGCCATCCCCACCCCAGCTTCCCCTCCTGMAAGTCTTGCCAGGAGTCTCTGATGTGCTTTAAATATCCAAATCACACACATGCTCCAGGTAAAAAACTGATTTAACATAACTCCAAATCTTACACATGGCAAAGGCCAATAAAATAATAACTGAGATTTCTCCTCATTATTAACATAATATCCTGGAGGAAACAGCTYGAGCTTGTGCTCTGTGGGGCACAAAACCTGCCCTGGGTCAGACAGGAGAGGGAAAGCAGCCAAGCAGGATGCACAGCTCTAATGCCAACACTCCCAGAGATACTACAGGTTTACTAACATGAGAGCATGGAGTTAGTAGACATTCAAACACAAAAATAATTAGTCACATGAGTTGGCTTTGTACCTTCTCCTATGAATGGGAGGCTTCTTTATACCATCCCCCAGAACTCGCATTGAACTGAAAATGAATCATGGAGAATGGTCAGCAGCTTGAATGGAAAAAGAAAATTAACAAATGGCACCTAAAGGATTAATATCCCCAACACACAGAGGGACAGAGGGAATGGACATACAGGGAAAACACACAATGAAATATGAAAGGAAGTAATRGGTCTTTGTGTTTCTCCTCTCTTTTACAAATAAATCTGGGGTTTGCCTGGTTTTATTTTGTACAGAAATAAGGTTGCACTGGTATTGACCACGCTGCAACTTTGCCACTGCCAAAGCCAGGTCAGTTTAAAGTTTAGAAAAGGCCAAGCTCTTTGACAGAAGCTGTTAGYAACAGTGATTAACACCAGCTCCAGTTCTGCAGTGCTTAATGCACCAGTGAAGCACCAGGGTGTTTCTTTCTCCAGCCTGGACATTAAAACCCTGCAGCATTGTTGAAAGACAGGCATTTCAAATCTGCTACAAATGGCAGGAATTAACTGAAGGATGAACATCCTTTTGGGGCAGCCTTGTTGGGTTTTTTTTGTGTTTTTAACAGCAAAATGTAGACATGAGGATTATCTGTGAAGTCTATATGAGGAAAGAGGGGAAGTGAAGGGGAACTGAGCATATTTTCACATTTCATTTATTTATTTTTCCGTGAACAAACTTTTACTCTCATCCCTCTTACAAAGAGAAAATATGCGAGAGTGGAAAAGATCAAATTTTACAAAAGGCTGGTRTTTTTTGGGCAGGCTTTTTGGGTCCTGTATCAGCACCTCTATCTAAGCTTGACTCAGCTATCTTTGTCACCAGAGGAAATGCTATTTTTGGTGTGGATGTGGGCTGGCCCAGGCTGCATGTTTTGGGGCAGGAAAGCACCTCTCAGAGCTCAGCTGATGGTGTCACCCCATTCCTCCTCCCTGCTGCACAGCTCAGTTCTGTTCCTTGAGCTGATTTTGGTGGCAATTACACTTCATTTGGTTATTTTTCTCCTCATTTAGTGTGTGCTACCTGCTCACCTCCAGGGCAGGGAAATGCCACAGGTGTTCAGAGGAGGGGAGGGAGCAGGACAAASCTCAGCCAAGCCTTGTGCYCCATCACCCCACTTCAAAGGTTTGCAAAAGTCAAATTGCAATCAGGGCTTTTCCCCTCCAAATGGAGAAGCATCTACTGCATATGAAATAAATGAATAAGCAAACACTCTGGATTTAACAGATTTGTGAAAGTCAGATGTTTGCACTTCACTTCTCCAGTGTTTGTTGTTGCTCACTAAGCAACGAGATCTCAACATCACAACAGCCACGTACCAAAAGAACAAAGAAAACAACAGAACGACACACCAAATAATCCAAATTCCTTTCTAACAGAAGCATAAAAACAAACATGAACCTAATCAGCAGCACAGACCCACCCAGCTTTTTTTTTTAATTAACCTACATGGCAGCTATCCTTATGGAGCTGCAGCTGTATGTGAGAACATATGAGAACAATTACTGCTCCTTCAACTCAGATTTTCTTACATTTACAATGAATGTATTTCCCCATTTCAGAAACAGCCTCCAAAGGGGGATGCAAGAGAATTTAACCCCATCTGCTCAGTGTTAGCAGTGACTGCCAGCTATGCAGTTTATTACCCTAAAAAATCCTTATGCATCAGGCCCTAGACTTAGAAATAAATCTCCCCAAATGAGTTTATGAGCTTATGGACTCATTGTATCCTAAACCTGCAGATATTCTGTCTCTTTTGTAGCTTTTAAAAATAGACAGGCATTATTTAACTTATTTAAATATTACCTGGGGGACAGGAATGAAGCCCAAAAAAAGGTGACAGTATTMAACAACAACAACAAWAAATTCTTTCACTGTATATTACTTAAAGGATCCTCAATGGTTTTCAACATTGACTTTAAAACCTTGAGGATCTACAATATTCCTTTAGTGACACCCACAGCTCCTGTGTGTAAGGATTCACACATTCCTGACAGGAGGCTGTTGCCTCTCCCTGGATGATCCAAAGGGTCAGTAACCATTTCCAGGAACTCATTGAGGTGGTCAGTTTTAATTTAATGCCATCCAAGCTCACATGGAATGGCTCTGTTTCTGTTAATGAATGYGGCCATGAGGACACAGCAGGCAGYCCAGAGAGCAGCACTGCCCTGCCCACCAGGGCTGCAGCCTCTGTGAGCTGTAGGGAGGACACAGCACGCTGGCCATGCTAAAACAACTGGCCATTCCTGCTCTGAGAGCATTAAAGCTCATTAAAAACACTGGCCAAACCTGCACTGGGCTCAGGGTTTGACCCCAAGCATCCTGCAGCCCAAATGTTGAACACTGCAGGGCAYGGCAGCGAACCTCACACAATTACTGCTTCTTGGTGTGCATCTTCCTTTATTTCCTCTTCTTTCCCACTGAAATGGGAGACTGAGCAACTTTTCTTCCCACTTGGCACCAGCATGGCTGGTACCCCTCTCCCCCCTTGTACCTTCTGAAAGAACAGATGGGAAAACTTCCCTTTTGAATCTTCCTGGACATCACCAGGGACATTGGTGATGAGTTGGATCTTAATGTCTGCGAGAGACTRAGGGGGAACCAGTTCTGTGAAACAGAATCCATCTCACCATTATGAAGAGCCTCCACAGAATTTTTTTAAACCCTGGTGYCTGTGCTATCTCTTAATACAATCAGAGCAATAATGGTCGTGTTTATTTTGTGGTCASTGAGATTTAACACTCCAATAATTCCTTTGTACAGAAAGGGGTGGTGACAGTTCTAATGGAAGACCTGTCCTGAGGTAATTCCATTTGCTCTGGAAAGCTCAAGCACACTGTAGGTATTAAGTACTTTAATCCTGCAAGTTAATTTAAGAAAAACCAAACAAACACACATTAGGAGATTGTCTTAACCCCTTCGAGTGAAAAAGAATCAAAAGCGACGTCAAAGAAACAATCAAAAGTGATGTCCTCACTCTTCTGTTTTATCATGCCAGSCTTAAAGCTCAGATAAATATGCATGAGTGGGTGCAAACTAAATGCAAGCAGCTCTTGACTCACCTCCTCTGATTGATTTCTGCCTCGTTGGTGGCATTCTTGCCTGGTCCCCAGCTGTGCCTCCGGAATGGGGACAGCGGCCGCATGGAGCCGCGCAGGACGGACGAAGGAGCGGGCACGTCCGTGATGCTGTCCAGCTCCTCTTCCTTCTCCCCTCCCTCCGAGGAGCCCATGTTGGTGCAGCTGCCATCCAGGCTGTGCCTGTCCTTGGGCTGGCAGAAGCTCCCTGCTGGTGGGAAGGGAAGGGAGGTGTCGCTGCCCAGGGAGGAGTTCCTCTCCAGGGACACGGTGTCATCGGCCGAGGAGCTGGAGCTGGTGACATCGCACGCTGAATGCTCCTCTTCAGGCTGCTGGGGGGAAGGAAAAGCAAAAATCTGTTCAAGCCAAATCACAGATTGGATTGGRTTCAAGGGACCTYTAAAGATCAGCTAGACCAACACTCTTGCCATGGGCAGGGACGTTCACTAGGTCAGGTTGCTCAAAATCCCATCCAAGCTGGCCCTGAACACTTCCAATGAAGTAAATACATKAACATTTTAAATAAATGCAAGCATTTTATGTTTCACATGAGCTGATAAATTTCTTATTGCATAGCAAATTAACCACCACAGAACTGAGATGTTTTGCTCTGGTTTCAAAAGAGGTTGAGATGCTCTGAAGGGGGATCTCTTCCACCCCAGAACTCCCTGGCTGGATAACCCTGGGCRCTCAGTTTGAATTCTCTGCCTGATTCCTCTCCTCCATTCCATATTTCATCCTGCACAGCAAATCCTGCTCCTCTCACCATTTCTGGCTAAACCTGTTATCAATCAAAGTGCCATAAAACTGCCAAAGGTTTACTGAGAGCAAGCAATGGGGAATGGGGTTATCACGACTCTGGATGACAAACTCCAGCCTCTCCTGCAGGATTGGGATGAGCTTATAGAGCTCAAGGGCAATCCACTGCTCCCCTGCATCCTGCAGCACAAAAGGGACAATTGCTCAGTAGCAGAAAACAGACAGAAAAAAAAAATAAAAGCTCAAGTCCCCATCCCCCACTACTTTCCATTAAGCAGAAAGTTAAWACCAGGGTTTGCAGCATTTTTCAAATCCAAATGTCATCGAAAAATATTGTTCTACAGGATCAGCCACCCTGTATTACGGATTTTGAGTCACACTGTAATTTTTGGGTTTAGTTTGCTCCAAAAGCAGYATGTAGAAGCCAAACTGGTTCTCTCTGGCCAAAGGCCACATGCTGACCACACAACCCCAGGGTATTCTGCATTCCCTGTGGCCACCATAAAGAGCACGAGCATCTCCCTGACATCACCTCCAGTCTGAAATGGTGTTTGCCCCGAGGGGCTGACATGGRAAATTTCWRTTTGTCCTCCTGCARAGCCCTGTGCTGGATCATTTAAAAYAACACAMGGCAGAGTGCTCTGTCAGGCCAGACACACACAGAGCACTCAGCAAAGCCCAGAGCTCACTGTCCTCATTCAGGGGCTGGGCAGCAGCTCAGCACTCGAGGGGAGCACTRCAGGATGGCAGCAGCATTTGGAGAACACAACTGCCTACAAAATCCTCTTCTCAGAAGGGAGAGATGGGCATCAGAGCCCGTGGAGRGAAGGATGAGCTGGAGCAGTGTTAACAGAGCATTTTGTTTTTCTGTGCTTTATTCAATGGGCACACTTGTACAATAAAAGCCTTTAATTTAACTGAAGAAAAAGAAACTGAGATGTTCAGAAAGTGTTCTAATCAAATATTTCACTGTTCAGAGAGAAATCCTGTTCCAGACTTAGCTATTTTTTATCCTTAGTTCAGTTAAACAGKTACACAATAATGTTCCTATGATGGCTTAACTAAATGCTGTCACACTACTTCCCTTCTCACATCCATCAAAGGAAAATACAGGAAGAAAAAAAAAAAAGAAGCATCCACAACAAAACACCAAAGTACAAGAACCTTTTAAACATGAAGTATTAAAAAACACACTAAAAATGCATCACTCCCAAAACATTCACTTCATGTTAAGGTATGTTAAATATTAATGGTGAATTTCTGTAAACTATATTCTCTAAATTAGCAAACTATTGGATTTGACACATTTGAATAGGAAGTGCAATGGAACAGAATAGGGAACTGAAATGGAAGCCCTGTGAGGTTTTTMAGCATTATTCAAGATGATCTGGTATTTGTGTGAGTCATGATGAGAGCTCACTGAATTGCCTAAATACAGACAAATCAAGCAGTCATTACGTGGATAATACTCCTACAGCAGAGGAAACAGTCTGCTTCACTCTTCTGAGACAGAAAAATACAGACATTAGATCAGGCTGGATGGGGCCTTGAACAGCCTGGGCTAGTGGGAGGTGTCCCTGCCCATGGGGGCTGGAACAAGATGAGCTTTAAGGTCCTTTCCAACCCAAACCATTCTGTGAYTCYRTGACTGGGGMAGCAGARCAGCAGAGGAGAGGGCTGAGTTCCCCCATCAGCCGTGCAAAGTGTGGCACAGCCTGGAAACTTTCAGTTTGGGTGCAAATCTAGAAACAATGGTGCAGAATACCAAAGAATTAAGAGTAAAAAGAGGAATTTTTTAATTCCCAGATGAAAATACTGCTGCAGTTTGAAATGCAGAACAAAACCCACTTCCCTAACAAGGAAGATTTAGAGTTTCTATCACAAAATGCAGTTCAAGGAGATGTTTGAAAAAAGGGAAATATATTTGGTCCATTTTAACTTTTACCTTGAGTATTCGACTGAYGACAGAACACAATAAACAATTCCCTTGAACTTGTGGCCCATGTTTATTCTTCTAAAAATATTCTGCTGTTGTTTAATGATTTTTTTTTTTTTTTGAAACAAAGAGAAACGGTTTATGTGAAAGAGGACTCTGTCTGAAAAACACCAAGTGTGGCTGACAYACCTAAAACATCTATATTGTAGTCACCACTGAAAAAAATTATCTACCTGGCCAGGTGCCAGTAAATATGCATTGCTCTTTAATCCTATTTGAGTAAGAAAACACTGTGTAGAACAGAAATGGTTCTGTAATGTGTTTTTCTTAYAGGAAAAAGRAAACATTAAAGAAATACTAWTTTTGTTCAAGTTAGGCTTGCTGGATTGCAMCTCAGTGAATTCAAGCCTTAACTGTGACCATAAACCTCATGGCCAAAAAGAGCCTTTACAGACATTTGGTAATGGGCATTTTCTTTGCTCTCAGTATTTGCTGAGAGTCTTGTAAAAAAAAAATAAGATAAGGCATAAAAGTGAGTTTTCTGAGAAAGGACACATGTACTTCTTCATGAATAGGGGCAACAGAAATCACTGGGATYGTGGGGGTGTAAGGTAACTTCTTCAGTTAAATCCCTCCACTGTAGGATGCCTCGATAAGGGAAATTAAAATGTTCTTCCAATCATTTCCATGATGACAACATGCAAATTGCTGAGACACAAACTTTCTCTGTCCCCTGACCTTTAAAGTCATTAAAGATGTTAAGAGTAATTTTTAAAAAAAGTTGAAAAAAACKAAACCTTGGAATCCTGAAGTTTATTTGGAATATCACTCCACTAAAGCAATCTTTAGTTGGCTTCATGTAGAATTCAGCAGAGTAATTCTTAATTTGGATTTGCCTACGGCTCCAGGTTCCCTAATACTAACCTCAGTAATGGCCTCCTATTAATTATCATAACTTTTATGATTTGGAGTGGAGGTGAAAACCTTTTCCTTAAAATTTTAATTCCTTTGGGTTTGGTTTTTTGGTTTTTTTGGTTTTTTTTTTGCACAGCTGTTGAGGTTTTTTTGTTTGTTTGTCTTTTAATAGATACAATAACTCCAAAAAAATTGATGCAAAATATTTACGTATCTGCGTATCCTCCTTGAGCAAACCAAAACAAAGGCAGAAGTTAAACAAAATTCAAGAGGCTGAGCTGCAAGAGCCCTTTCTTTGGCAATGACCTGTGGGTTCCTGACTCCCTYCATCTGAATCATTTCCCAGCAGGCACATTAAAAATCTTCCCAGTAACGCCGAGCTTTGGTTCAAAGTGAAGATGAGCAAAGCACATGGGCTCCACCCCAGGATGTTCCACATGATTGTGAGAAATGACCTTATGAAGCATTAATCACTGCAGGAGGAGGATGCTGCAGAGCCTGCCCTGGCTGTCTGGGACACAGAGGGAAAAGCAGGATGAYGAGGACATGGGAATGAAGTGCTGACACAAAAAAAAAAACCCTACAACGTTCTGCTGAAGGCATAGACTTGGAAGAAAATTCTGCATCTCAGTGACAGCCTCTAAAGGCTGCAAAAAAGGGGCAGATTTTAGTGCTAAAACTCCCTGAACCCAACAGTTGATATTACACAGCTCAGCACACGTCCTTCAGATAGAGAAAGCTCAGAGAAGGGGACAGGGCAAGGCACCTGCAGGTTGTGTGACCCCACAAACCCCAAATCTTCACAGTCCTGGGACAGAAYCAGGGCTTTCCATCTGTGAAATTCAAATGATGTCTAAGGAAGCAGCCCAAAGACCTGAGACAGTGACTTYTTCTTCCCACACTGATTTTAATGCCTTAAGCAGTTAACAAAGAAGGAGCTATTTCCAAAATAAAAAAAAAAAAAATCAACAACTCTAGTAGACAAAAGTTCAAATCTTGCTCCACAGAAAAAGGGAAACAAGAACAGAACCAGTAATCACCATGAYACTGAAAGGCTTGAGATCCTCTTTCTGTTCATAAACATATTCTCTCTCTTCCTAATTTGTACTATTTATTCAGTTTATAAATAATCAACTACAGCCAAGACATGCATCTTAAAATATTTTTCAGWAAAAAAGATTACAGCCCCCACTTATTTTGGTGATCATTAAAAATTATCTATAATTTGCATTTCTACCAGCTTGACTCAGGAATCTAAAACCAAAAAAGCTTTAATTAAGGAGCAAGCTCTCAACACTAAACCAGTGTTTCTGGTCCTTTAGAAATAACTTTAACTGTAGAAAAAATATTCAGATAAACTCAGAGAAATGAGATAAAGAATCTAATTAGTGACGAAAAAAAGGAGAAATAAAGCAACTAAGGTTGAGATTAACTTTGAATAATTTCTTAAACTCAACTCAGGAGATTTTTTTAAAGCTGTTCGTAGACAAAGTGTGCAATCCACTGCACAATGAGAACAATGCAAAGGCTACCAAGTTAAGAAATTCCCTTTCCACAAAGAAAATAATTTYCTCCCTCTGCCCTTTCTCCACTGGCAACTGAAGATCTGCTTTCCCCASCAGCTGCCTCTTCCCTCTGGCATCACTGCCACACTGCACTGCCTGTTCTGGTTACATTTTGATCTTTCTCATGTTTGAAGAAGCTAACTTTTCACATAAGAAAAGGAAAAATCTAAAATTCTGTGTAATTTAATATTTTCTRTGCTTCCACTGCCCTCTTCTCCCCCACTTTCCCATCCAAGCATTAAATCAGGCTCAAATGGCAGCTGGCTGTCGCAATCCGTGCCACTCCACACAAAGAAACTGAAGAGAGTCTGCTSTGCCAAACAGCCTTGGATTCTGACAATCCAAGGTCCCAGATCCTTCTGACACTGAGATGGGAAAGGGTGAGGCTGGTGAGCTCTGTGCCCTGCCACATGCATTAAGGATGACTTTTCTGTTCATTTATAGCACATGAGATCACTTAGCCTGGGCTGTGGTGTTCCCCATCCTGGTGGAAAATACTCCCCACCATCTGATTTGATTTCAGCAAACAGAATTTTGTTGCATTTGATACATTTTTCAGAAAGCCAGTGTGAAAGCCACTCTGATAGCTCCTTTTTCAGAGCAGGAGCTGTGCCTGCTCAAACCTGTGAACTGCAGCTGAACCAAAAAGTGTGATTTCATGGAGACCAGAGTCATGGCTGTTCTAAGGAAGGGTCACATCCCTTTGGATTCCACATCACTTTCTGGGTGTTTTTTCATCACCCACTTATGCCAAGAAGAACACAAGGTACCAGCAGGATGAGTTTTCAAGAGTAAAAACCTRATCACCCCCTGAATAAATTCAGACTGCTCTCAACTCTGTCTCTCAGGTCTCTCCTCCTCCTCCTCCTCAACGATGCAAAGGGCACGGGGATGACTAAGGTTAGCAATGACTTCTGTTGTTGATTTTCAGCAAACTTGAAAACACTTTGATTCTACTTGCACGCAAACAGGCGTTAGAGGTGTGTCGCCTAGGCAACAAAACTATTCCCTGAATTGGCCTGAAGTATTTAGAGTGAGTATTTCCTTCCTATCACACCGAGTTTACAGAAAAACACTGGTTCCTCTGAGAATTACAGTATATAAATCTGAAGGTGTCAGCACAGAGGTCACAGTGTGCTGGAGAAAAGTTCTTTGTTGCATGAGTTAGAGATGGATTTCGTATCATCTGTGCAATCCCTAATGACCTTGCAAGAAAATCCACCTTTTCAACCGCTCCTCTAGTGCCTGATTTACTCTTGGACAGAAAAAATTACTTTCATATTTTTTTACCATTGGGGGCTGAACAGCTTTTGGAATTCTGCTGCAAGTAAATATATCCCTCATGCTGCTGCATCCGAGGAGGAGACCTAATCCTTCCCATCTATCCTGTTCCAGGATAATCATTTCCAGGTTTCCAGCTCACCAGTGAAACGAGGATGATCTGTGGGTGCAGTATGGATTTATCAGGGTTTTTTTTTTTTTTAACCATATCCCAGCCAGGTTTTCTCACCTTCCCAAAAACGAGGTCTTCCATCCCATCACCAGGCAAGGGGAAGAGGTCAGACTCGCTGCCGGATTCTCTTTTGAGACCCCCCTGTGACGAGGCACAGACGCCACTCAGCCCATCCTCCAAGAAATTCTCACATTCTGCAGGAGCAAAGCACAAAAGAGTCACAACCTGAGGCTTTCTGCAGCRTCCACACATCCACATCTGCATTCTCTCCGTGATTTCCTTCCAGGATTTAAAAGCARCAGTGTACACAGCTTCACAAATAAAACTTTATAAATCTGCTCACCTCCCAAAACCGTGCCTGGAAATTCTCAAATAATTTATTCCAGAGTTTAAAACTCCTTTTTAAGTGCATCACTGAAGTACATGGTGCAAACTGAAAATCTGCATGGAACAGCTGTAAACACGTGTAGCTTGAGGTGCTGATAAATATTCTACATATGAGKTATCCCATACATCATAGGGATGTTTCCTATCGATTGCAACAACTGTAACATTAGATTCATATTAAAAAAATGCAAAAATGTAACTTGTCAATATTTGCWTTCTTAAAGAATTGATTCCCTTTAAATGCCAAGATGCTTTTAATGCATATTTAGACAATTATTTAATTCCTTCTTCTACACTTCTTACTGAAAAAGTGCTAGTGTGAATTCTTTGACAAGCTTTACTTTTTAAAGATTCAAAAAATAAGTGATTTTTTTTTAAAAAAATCAGCTTTTTAAACTCCTGACATTGAAATTGCACCTCTTTTTGTCCCGAAATGCTTCCAGCTGTTTGCCCTGGGTTAATCAGGAGTACAGAACTAGACTACAGCCCCTGCAAAAGCCCTCTCTTTCCAAAACCTTTAACAGACAAATTTTTGCCTAAKAAATGACTGTACAAAATTTTACTTGTTCACCCTTCAGGCAAAAATATTAATGATCATTTTGGCAATAACTRAACACTCATTTTTCCCATTTTGAAATGTTTTCTAATTATTAGTTTGTTGCTTTTTAAAGGTGCTGKTTTTAAAGGTGCTGTTTAAATGGATCCAAAATGTGCTCAGCTATCTGGAGAGGAGCCAGGACAATAAAATATTGGTTCACTCTTAAATCACACCTCACTAACTCCATCCTTGGTGACATCAAGCTTAAACATCAGTGCAAGGACGACAGGTTTGGGTAGCTTAAGGTCACATCYTTGCTTTCCCCATCCTTAATCTGTGCCTGACAGCAACTCTGGAACACCCCAGCCCCATCCCAACTTCACTGCTGGAGAAAATAACATTTCTTTGATTGTGKTGGGGCTGTCCCCATAGAGGGCAGGGGGAGTTGCAGGCAGTCAGAAACCCCATTACCCCATAGAGGAATTTCCACGCTGTGGAGAATTGGAAAAGCACTTAGTGGATGCTGCAGCTGCTCCTGTTCCCCTTTTGGTAAACCTGGAAAATCTGAACTGCTTTTCCATCAGCGAGGGGGAGAAGGGAGGGGAGKGAAGAAGGGGGGAATGGAGGGAAAGAAGAGACGGAGCGGCTGTGAGGACGCGGGCCAGGCACAGCTCATCCAGCTGGCAGCCAGCACTGCATGTCCACAGCCCAGACTGAAAAACAAAGGGGCTYCAGCCACGTTCCACTGGAAAATCAGTGGGGACAGCCCAGATGTGCTGAGGGATGGATCCTCACCCCGAGGATAAAGCACAAGAGGCAGCCAAGGCTCCACTGCAGGAGCCTCCCTGCAGGGACAGAGGAGATGAAGCAGCAGGGAAGGAGGGTGAGGAGTAGGGTGATGGGGACCCCCACACACCTCAGCTCATCTGTGCTGAAAAAACCCACTTCCAAGCCCTCTCTTCCCCACACTCTCATTTATTTTTGGTTGGAGGTGTGCAWCTTTTCTCCATTTTCTCCCTCCCCTTTTCTCAGTTCTGGGTTTGTTTTGAACTGCGCAGACATTGTACAAAGCCAGGCTCTCTCTCTCACACCCCTGGCAACACTTCTGTGAATCATATAAAGKAAAGAAAATAAAAAAATACATTGARAAAAGCCCTAGGAAGAATACTTCCAAGCAACTCTCTTCTGTACATTTTCCAAACTCTCGTGTCCTCCAARTCAGGGCTGAGCCCTCCAGTTCTGTGCTGATCACTGTGGATCTGCCTACACTCCTCTGTGCACTGAATTTCAAAGCATTACTTTATAAAATCTGAGGTCACTCTCCTTGCAAACAAATTTTTTTTGCATCTCCTTTCAGCAAATGAAAAAGGCCGAATTCCCATCAAGTAGTGAATTTTTARGTTAGTTTTTACTGCTATTAGGTGTTACCAGATTTTTCTTGTCCTCTGCACTGCCCAGCACCACAGAGCAGTAACAAGATTTTTTCTAAAAAGGCCAGAACCTGCATAGCCTGAGATCTTTCTGCTGCTTCAGTTCACCTGGAGAGCACAATAATTAAAAAATCTGTCTTTCCATGCTTATGTTACAGACAAGTATTACTATAATTATTAATATAATTGATTGTCTGTCCCCCTGGAAGAGCCAGGAAGCACGAGAGAACACACAGGGCTGGGAGCTTGGCATGGGTGCTGGGCAGAGTGTGGGAACGATGGCTCTGAACAGCTTTGCTCCTTCCTGAAGCCTGGAATCATGGCAACTTCCAGAGGGGGGAAGAAAAAAAATCTCCAGCCACTGATTTGGGTCTAAATATGGATATGGGAGTTCAAATTTCTGACTTTTTTTCTTTTATTGTATTATCCTTTTAGCTAGAAACCATGTCTGTGTGTKTTATCACACCTTTCAAGTTTATAAAAAAGAAAAAGGGGGGGAAAAATGAAAATAGTGAAGAAGTTGAAGTGCAAAGTCATTTGAGATGGTGACACAGCACCACAGCTCCCTGCAAGTCCAGAGCTGCAGCCATGTGCTAACAGTGACTCACAGCACAGTCATTACACTGTTTCTTTAATTTATGTGTTTTCCCTATCCAGGCCAGGATGTCAAAAATCAAGAGAAAAGGAAGGATAGARAAGTTGAGGGGAAGAGCTGCAGCTCTGGAGCTCGCTCAGCACTCGGCTCACCTGGAGAGTCGCGCGGCCGCTTGCGCTCCAGCAGGGAGGGGTCGGGACATGGCTCCAGGGGACACCAACTCTCACGGTTTATCTGCAAAACACAGCACAGCACATCAAAGAAAGGCCACTCTCACCCTGTCAGCCTCTTCKGCAATGTCCCTCTGCATCAACCAGCACATATAGAGTTATGGCTTAATTTTTTCCCAATAATAAAAGTGTCAAAAGTAACATACGATTTTTTTTTTTTTTTTGCATTGCTAAACAAGCCATTAGAATATGCCAAAAACCTTTAYTTCTCCATGGAAAGTCTGATTTTAAGGTGGCTTCCGCTCAAGGAAGAAGTTTAGAGGGAGGATGAGTCAGTGTTTAAGCTACCAGCTGAGGACTGGACARCCTTGGCTCCAAGTCCCACCTCCATTTGTAGCAGCACTGCAGGCAAAATATTCTTCTGCTTTATGCCTCAATTCACTACCTACAGAACGGAAATTCCTCACCACCCATACTGCTGCACAGATAATTACCTCAGAGACAGCAAAGTGCTCTGAAACCAGGCCTTGGGAAGTGCCCAGATCATGGTGAGAACCAGAAGCACTCTGGGCTTGCACTAACTGAGCCGATGGTGACAGAAACGCCCCTTTTGACACTGAGATACATCACACGGTTCATTTCAACATCAGCCTTATCACCTCACCCTGTCCTTCACCCTCCCCATGACTCCCAGTCTTTCAGCAAGGATGACTGATCTGTCCTCAGCCTCCTCCTCCCTCTGCCTGTGCTTTCATCTTCCTCACTCGGGCTGTGCTGTCCAAAATTTGAAATCTGCTGGACTATCCACAGCCCTTGGCTCATCCAGCATTCACTTCCCATCGCTTTGGTCTGCAGCTGGCAGACTCTGGAAGCCCCTTCACTCTCTCTGCCATTTCTTTGAGAGCCAAATGCCTTTACTTGCTGCCAAACACGTGCAAATCTCACCTGTCCCACACCACAAACCCCAGAGGTTATTTCTACTCCTGACCTTCCTCAACACACAGGATCTCACATGTTGTAGCTAAAAGAAAGCTACTGAAATGGATGACTCTCTTTGATTTTACATGTCATGGATCTCTCCTACCCTCTTTCTGGTCCTCCTTTTATCTCATGAAAGAACTTCCTTTCCTCCCTYTCAAATAACAAATTTTTACTATTACTTTTTGCCTCTGACCTATGCTCAAATCTCTTCTATGATCCTGCTTTATTTTTGCAGTCCCTTGCTGGATTCCCATCCCCTCAATGTTCTCCTTTCTCCTGTACAATGAAATGCACTGGCTTTGCCCTATTATTTATTTTTTTTTTTTAATAAATGAAAACCAAGCCGCTCCTACCCTTGACCTGACGTGCTGCTTTGACTAATGACCCACGTCCTTGTTTCCTCTCTCACTGAGATCATGGAATGTGTTACTGCAGTCCTTGGCTGTGTCCCCTGCCCGTCACCCGACGGGCTCCTGCCAGCACCTCTGCTATCCACAGGCAAYGCTCCACTCCCCCAGACCTGGCAGCTATTGCTACTGCACATTCTTCTTCCTCAGGTTTTGTCCTCTTCCATACTTGTGTAATGACAAAATGGGGTTGGGAGGGCCTTTGACAGGTCASCTAGTCCCTGTCTGCTGCGCCAAGTCGGGCTCAATTGTCATCGGAGAGATCTCCATCCAACGGGCCCTTAAACTGCTCCGTGGAGAGGATGCCATGACCTTCCCCAGGCAGCAGCTCTTGCTGACAGACACAGAGAAGTTCTGGGAGGGGAAAATGAGCAGGAGCCTCCCAGGAGAGGTGRAGGAGATGTTGAGCTCTACCACAGTCAGGTCTCGGGGTGACCTCGGTCCCACCTGGGAATCCCTCCCACCTCCGTGGAATTTCTCAGGCTCTTTTTCTTAGGGATCATGTACATTTTGTAGCACTGCCTGACCCTGCTCATACACCTGAATTATACAGAAATCCATCCAAGACCCCATCAGACCCCTCTCAATGCACCATTTAAGATCCCAGTGTTCCCTGCACCTCTGCTCCACACACGCCTGTGCATCCATGTTCTCCCTTTTACATGCAATACATCCATATTAAAGGAGAGGTAGTGAGGGGAAGAGAAGCAGTCTTCAGTCACAGAAAGGTTTTGTAAGCAAACTTCAAACCATTAATTTTTTGTTTTCCAAAGTGACATAAAGATGTTGCATTTTAACTGTGGCATGGACAGTGAGTCACGTTCTGATTCCTTTAACAGAAGACATTCCCTGTTCTCATCGAGGCTGGGTGGTATCTAACCTTAGCACCTAAACTTAACTGCAGAATTTATCCTTTTTTGTCTTAAAAGAGCTGCAAAGTCAATAAATACCACATAAAGACTGTAAAGTCAATAAATACCATGCTATTACTCTTTTCTCTCCAGACAAAGAAGAATAAATTTACATCAAAATTTCCTATATTTTATTAAAGGCAAATCTAGAGGTTGAGGCTGAACACACATAGAAGGACAAATGCAAATGTGCTCAAGTCCTTACAAATGAAGGAATGACACCCTTCAGATAAAAAGTCTAATTCTGCCTCCTTCTGACTGACTTGCACCCAATTCCTTCCTCACCATATTGAGTTTGACCCTTCTTACTTTTAAACAAATTTACATCAAATTTAAAGAAACTACTCCTGATTTATACTTACATCTGCTACTGGAAATCAATAATTAAATATCCCATTCAATAATTAGCAGTTAGAAAGCAAAATATGGAGAGGGTCAAACTGTCTGTTGAATAAGCCATATTAGGCTGAATTAACATTATATATTTTCCTTTAATAGAACCAATTGAGTTATTCACTGGAAATGCATTACAGACATTGGCATTTTTTCAAAAAAGATTTGAGCATTTTTCCCATTTCCCAGCCAGCTGTCTCCTCAGCCCTGTAGCTTTGCCAAGTATTGAAAACGTCTGCTTTTTTCTATTAAAAATGTAACGAGAGAGAAACACTGAGGTTTAAGGTGCTGCTTCAAATATACCTGATTACGTACAAAATAAAACATTAGAAACTAAATATTTATCTCAGCAGCCTTAATTCAGGAAAAATAATAATCACCATCAAAACAAAAACAAAGGAAACTGCTACTATATACAAGTATTCCCCAGGCCAAAATGAGCCCAGACAGGATTTGAGAGAGGCTCACTGCAGGCTCTCAGGAAACTGGGTGGTCCATAAATGATCGAAACACAAACTCCACAATCCACAGCCCAACACTGAGCACTGGGACCCCTCCTCAACACCTGAATTCTGCTTGTGTTTACTCAGCACTATGGGTACAGACAGAGCTGGGGAGGAAATCACCTTTATAAAAGCATCTGAACATCAGAGGTTGGAGAAATTYGAAATGAGATTGTCTCAGGATTCTGCTGACGTGTGTGCGTTACATGTGAGAAAATTCCTCCCTTTTCCCCCCAGTTTCTTGTTTTGCTGAGAGAAGCCCAAGGACAGGAGCACAGGCTGGTGGCCAGAGCAGATGATGAAAGCCCCACACTTTGTGCCTTGCCCACACTGATTACAGCTCATTGATTGCAGGCATCCCAAGCCTTTGTGGTGGGAGCAGAGGATGCAGAGCTGTTCCAGGGGCAGAGGGAATATGAAACAGCCCCTGGGAACAGAGTTTCAATACACAGCTTTTGAAGGAATGCCAGGAGAGAACCAGCTCTTTTTCCATACAGAAGCCTGACAGTGTTTATCTACAGCTCAGACACAGAATGAATCATGGAAGCAYATCCCCAGGCACCAAAAATTGAATCCTGGAGGATTCAGGCTAAATGTTCAAAGAGGCCTTCAGGACAGCAGCTGGAGCAGCAGACAGTTCCATTGCTCTTTCTGGGCACACACAGGTATTTCCTGACTCTCAGGGACATCTTCCTGCAGATGCTGAACTTGAAACCTGATGTGACTTTGTGAATAAGGAAAGGACGGCGCTGGAGAAGCTGTGAGACACCGGGCTGAGGTGTTCTCTGTCCAGCAGGAACAGTGAGTGACCCCAGACTCCATCCCCAGGCTCTTCCTTCCTCTCCCCTTGGTCTTGGACAAGGAATTATTTAATCCCCTCCAGCCCATAAAACCAGGATTGGGATATCCTTCTCAAAGACACCCAACAATACCACAGCAGAGCCGTTTGGTGGGGGAACTGATAGGAACCAGCACCTCGGGGACCAGGGACCACCTGGCTCCTGTGCACCTCTCCTGCAGATCCAGCAGGAAAAGTCCTTTTCTCTCCCTCTGGTTTTATTTTTACTCTTCTTGCCTTCCATTTCACAATAAAGAGAACACGCTGACCTCTCAGGAAATCTTTTGCTCTTGCTAAAGTTTGCACTTGTCAGCCTCGCTGGTCATGACATAAATCAGCATCTCCAGAGCACAAGGAACCAGATGACTTTAACTTTCATTTCCTAGCAGATCCCTAGAGATTCATCTTCCCTCCATACTACTTTAACTTTGTCCCGAATGTGCAAGTTTCCATTTTTCTCCTTTTATTTTCCCCAGCTTCCAGACTATGATCTACCTTGCAGCTAAAAACCAGATACTGCTGCACATAGGAAAATATTTAGGAGAGTAATTGTAGCTTGCTTAGTGTATCTTAAAGTACTTGTGCACCACACTGGGTAATATCCATTTTAAATATCCAGTGTAGAATAATAGTAGTAAAAAAGAGCAAAACTCTAAATTCAATTACAAGTAATTTCTTTCATAAGCAGAAATAATACAATGTTTTGTTATTTTTTTTTAAGTTCTATGCATATTGTAATTATTTTCTAGGAATTTTCTCTTCCTGAAAATTTCTTATAGGATTAAAGAAATTTGTACACATAACTGGAATTCAGTGTTTATGCTGTCAACTTCTAACTTTACAGATCCATCTACAATGAAATTATCCAGTTGTCCTAGAAATTCAAGCAACAGATGATTTCCCCCTTCACAAAAACCACCTTTCAAGATCCTGCAAACACTTTGAAAAGGCATATGAAGGATGGGGCATCTGGGGAAGGAATTTCCACTGTTTTCCTTTAACATCTGTTGCTGCAGAAAGACTCCATACACACAAAACTCACATCAAGAGCAGMAATCACTGCTTTGGCAATCATCTTGCCAGACAATATTAAGAGCAGCCATATCAATTTGCTTGCAAATTCCAGACTTATTTTTTAWTTCAATTTTTTTKKWAWYYYCCYYC